TCCTCTGCCCACCACCTCCTGTGCTTTGCAGCCTCTCCGAGTGCCCACACACGAATCGTAAAAATAGTTTCCCCGGGCAATCTTGACTGGCTCCCGGGGAAGAGGGTCCCCATGGCTGCCTGCCTTCCTCGCACCCGCCCCTCCCTCCCACTGCACAGAAGCAAAAGCTAAACTTAGCAAGAGTCATTCAAGGCTCGGCGCTCCAAATTCAGATTGCCAATATATACAAGCCGAGGTCTTGTAGAGGGGAGAGACGGACAGACAGCAGAATACAAAACCAAAGATCTGATGCCCTCCCTTAATTTGGGACGGATGGAACATCTCAGCCTGGCACTGCCAGCCCGCGGCCAACCGGAGGCCCAAATGGCCACTGAATCCGGCATCAGTCGTGGTGCACCATCTAACCCGGGTCAAAGCTCAACATTGGGTAAGCGTGAACCTCAACCAGGGTTGAGCAGAAGCAACGGAGAAACCAAGATAACTCTTTGGGCGGTGTTGAGTCATCCGAGGGGAAGCTGGCTTTAGAGCCGAGGTGGCGCAGTGGTTAAATGCAGCACTGCAGGCTACTTCAGGATCAGCAGTTCGGCTGTTCAAATCTCACCGGCTCAGGGTTGACTCAGCCTTCCATCCTTCCGAGGAAATGAGGACCCGGATTGTTGTTGGGGGCAATATGCTGACTCTGTAAACCGCTTAGAGAGGGCTGAAAGCCCTATGAAGCGCCATGAAGCGGTATATAAGCGGTATATAAGCCTAACTGCTATTGCTATTGTGGTAACGGAGAGCAATGTACAGAATGAGATGTAAGTTTAACCCAACGGTATTCCTTTAGTCGTCTATGCATCTGTATCCGTGCCGATATATCCATAGATGCTCATATTTAAATTCTCAGTCAAATAAATACATCACTACAGGTAGTCCTCAACTTGAGCTCAAATTTCTGTAGCTGAGCACGGCAGTTGTTAAATGAGTTTTGCCCCATTTTATGACCTTTCTTGCAATAGTTGTTAAGTGAAAAACTGCAATTGTAACATGGTTGT